AACTCAGTAATTGTATAAAAAACACTATGGGTGAAGCAGAAGAATTGCAAGTTTAAGGCCAGGCTGGGCTATCCTATGGAATGAAACTGTCTCAAAAATCACAACAACAACAAAAAGCAAAAGAGCGGATGATGGAAGAGACAGCAGGACAGAACTTGCAAGTGTCATTAGTGATCTAGCCTTGAAAGACAAACGCCATTGCAATACTTGTACACATCCTGTTAGTCACATGAGCAGCCATGGTTCACTGCGGACAGAAACAGTACCAAGGGGTAGGTAGCATGAGAAAAGGATTATTGGGCAGCCGCTTTGCACACTGACTACCACAAATAGGGTTGTGAATCCTGGTAGGATTAATTGGCCTCAGTGTTGCAAACAGAACTCTGATATAAATCTTCATAGAATCACTGGTATCACTGGATTTGTCAGTAGAGTTGTTCATCAGACCACCAGTGCTGGCACATCTTTCTGTCGATTGAGATTGGTGCTGAAAGAAGCCTAGCAACATGAACAATTTGTGTGTGTGTGAAAGAGAAGCATAAGCCCACATAGGCTGAGGTGTACCATGCAGTCTCAGTATGGAGGCTATTTAAAAAAAAGACTGCCTCCCTTGGGAGGTATATAGTAGTGGAAATCCACATAACAAAATGGAAGAAGCACAGTGATCAGAATATAAAAAGTATGTTTATTTTGATTCAGAGCAAACTCCACATTCAGGATAAACTTAGTTCTTTCTACTCCTAAGATATTTTACAATAGTAGAATGTATGCTTTTGGGAATTTTTAATTTTCAAAGTTTTGTGGTCATAAGCCTATAAAGGCTCATACTGGTAAACACAATACCTATTATAACAGCTGAAGATCTGAAGCAAATCTGTGGAAACAACTAGAATTTTCTGTTGACTCACCGGTTGAGGAATTCTCTACTGCTGCCACCTTGTGGCCTTTTAGAGTAATAACAAGTAGAGTGTTTTTGTTTTATTTTTTGTTTTGTTTTGTTTTGTTTTGTTGGTACCAGGGATCCAGCCCAGGGCCTCGCGCTTGCCAGGCAGGCGCTGTGCCACTGTGCTACATCCCCATCCCCAAGCAGAGTGCTGAGCTAAGAAGAATGCGATTTAGGGGCCTCCTTGAATTCTACACGTTAGACCACATCTGCCCTATTTGGGGTCCTAGCTCCTCCTCCCCTCCCCCTTCTCTTTCTTCTCCCTAGTACTGGGGACTTAACCTAGGGCCTTTGCATTAAATTAAATCCCCAACCCCTTTCTTTCTTCTTTCTTTCTTTCTTTTGAGACACGGTCTCTCTAAATTGCTAAACTGACAGGCTGGGCTCAAGCTTGGAATCTTCCGGCTTCGGCCTCTCAGAGTGCTGAGATTACAGGCGTTTGCTACTGGACAGGCCCTTTCTTTTGTGTTCTAAAGCCACTCAGTCATTGGCTCCAGAGATGATGGGAGTTAAGGGCAATCTTCCTAAGTGAAGAGATTCTCATCTGGGCAAGGGAAATTCTCAGGAGTGTTAGCAACAAACACAGCCTGCAGGGAATGGTTACCCAGGGCAAAGGTTCCATACCCCTCTTCTGATACCCTATCTCAGTCCTTCTACTCAAGCCAGGACCCCATAGAGTGCAGATATGGATCTTTGAATGCTAATGTGTAGAGTCCAAAGGGGCCACTAAATGCCAGCATTAATACTGGACTTTACTCTGGTTGTGCTACTCTAAACCCCAAGGTGTTTTCACACAAAAACTGTTCCCAAGCAGAGTGTTTTCCGTCAGTGCTATGGCATAATTATGCCGAAAGCAAAAGCACGTCTTTCCTTGAAAACCTCATGTTGCCATTTTGGGCTTACTTCTAGCCACCTGAGTGCGCTCTGAATCTAGACTGTGTTGTCTAATTCAGCACTGCCTGCCCTGCTATCTGCAAGCTGGGTGAGTGTATCTTTTTGGTGACTTTCAACTTCCCTGTTCTTTATATACCTGATGATTGTTCACCTCTTAACATCCAGCTTTTACTATGCCTGTCTGATGACTCTGTTCTTTTGCTATCAAACTTTTCATTTTTATTTTATGTATTTATTTATTTATTTTTGGTACTGGGAACCAAGCTCAGGACCTTGCACTTGCCAGGAAGGCACTTCAGCCGCTGAGCTATGTCCTCGGCCCTATCAACCTTTTCAGACCACACAGGACATTTTGGTTGAGAATGGCCAGGAGTAGGCCTGAGGTAGGGGCATCAGAGTGTCATTAAACTTTAGCAAAAACATAAGTCTGAGATAAGTAGACAGCCCAGAATCCAGGTGGCGAGTAGGCGATGTGGGTGATCCATACAGAAAATGCAAGAACACCAGCATAGAGTCAGGAGCCCTGACTTTTTTGGTACCTCAGCAGGAAGTGAGGAGGTATCTGCAAGTAATTTAGGGACCTATTCAACCTGTATTCAGTTCATTTAAATGAGTTTCAGAGTACTATGTGATTACTTTGAGCTTTGTAATTTGTAGAGAATTATCTTGGATAATTGTCCTAACTCATCCTCCAGGGTGATATATCCATGTATCCACCTGTAGGCTCACTTTCAGCGTCAGACCTCAGGGAGGTAGGCAGCATTATGTTTGCTCCCTTTTCCATCAGCTCTAGTGTTTGCACCTCTAGTAGGCCTTGTGGTAGGGAGTTCCCCTGTCCTCTCTGATCTTGATTCAGGTGTCAGGCATAGCCTTCTCTCCCCAGGGCTCCATCGACAGAAGGAGCCACCACTGTTAGCAGTCCTGCAAGTGTGTTTCTCTTTTCTGATCTTGTCCAGAACTGGAAAACCCTTTCCGTCAAAGAGCTGTGGATGAAAAGGATCACCAAGAGAGGCAGATCATGTTTAGGAGTCATCAGGGACCACCTAAAATCATCTCATGTACCCCCAGAGACACTTACCTCCCACCAAACTTTGGGAAATGACAACCTGCAGCATACACCCTGATGTGAGGAAGAATCATCCAGTTATTTCACAGTATGTAACTCCATCTTGTCACACTCTTGGTCACTCCTGAATGGAAGACTTAAAACTTTGAGAGCAGTGAGACTGAACGGTGGAAACCACAGTGGAAATCTGTTGTGTTCACCTCCCCTAGTTCTACGTGTTCACGGACTAGGCTTTTTCTTCCTATTGGATCCACAAAGCTTTATAGACAACAAGTCCTCTCTCGTTGGTTACTCTGCCCACTGAGTTCAGTAGGTCATTTACAGAGCTGGGATTTCTTGACTAAGCAGTGTAAGTGACAGTATGATGGCAAACAAAGATTCCAAAGAAGAGGAGCAACTGGCCTTGTATTCACTCTGAAAGCAGACACAAGGCACAAATTCCTTACCATTAGGGTTCAGACTGGGTAAGTGATTTCAAAGTCAACATGTCTGTCTATATTTAATACAGGTAATTATTTTTTAACTAGGCCAAAGAATTCAACTTACAAAAGGTCACAGTGAAAATTAAGTTCTCTTCTCATCATTCTATTTGCAGTCCTTTTCCCCGAGACTAAGGGTATTACTGGTTTCTTGTCCATCTTTAATCATGGCTAAGATTCAGTGTAAATGTCGGCTGTGCTGTATATATACTCTACTCCTCATTTCTTTAAGCATTTCTTAGGGATAGTTTAAAAAATGCTTGTTTGGGCTGCAGATGTGGCTCAGTGGTAGAGCTCTTGCCTTGCATGCACAAGGCCCTGGGTTTGAGCCCTGGGACCCCACATACACACAATGCTGGGTTCCTTTCATGTAACCTGTCTTTGTTTGAGTTCCCTTTTTTTCTTTTTGTTGTTGGGTTTTTTTTTTTATTATAAAGAGAATAAAAAAATAATAAAATAACAACAGCATAGATGAAAACAAAACAAAGCAAAAACAATAAAAATGATACAGTGTTTCAAAACAAAATGTTGGGGCCAGGATATAGCTCAGCAGCACAAGTGCCTGCCTGGCAATCGCAAAGTCCTGAGTTTGATTCCCGGTACCAAAAAAAAAAAAGAAAGATGAAATCAAAACAAAATGTTAGGAATTAACAGTGGTTGTTGTATTACATATTGTTATCTTCAGTGAAGTTGCACAGATTACCAGATGTAAGAATGCAATATTGATCAAACCATTAATAAAAAATAAAAAAAAGTTAGAAATGATACAGAGCTTCACCGAACAAGACAGTAGGAATTCACCAATGGTTGTTACATTGTACATTGTTGTCTTCAAATTAGTTGTTCAGATTACCAGATATAAGCATGCAAAATTGGTCCAAAAATTTTAAGCATTAACTGTTCCTTTCAATAAACCAGTAGACATCAGCAGTACAATTATCCCAGCTATCCATATATATATATTTCTTTTTCTTCCTTCTTTCTTTTTCTCCTTTCCCTCATCCCAGTTGTTCCTTCCTTTGAGCAATTTCTTTCCCTTTCATAATAGCTACTGTACATTTTGGGTTTTATTTACTCTTTCAGGTTCTTACACTAGGGAGACAAAACAATGTTTACACATGTGGGTCCGATTTATTTCACTTACAAGTATGATCTCTACTTGCATCCACTTACCTATAAAAGCCTCAAGTTTATCTTTCTTACAGCCGAGTAATACTCCATTGTATAAAAAAACACACCTTTTTTATCCATTCTCAGTTGATGGGCAGCTTTTGGTTTTTTGAGACAGGGTCTCACTATGTAGTTCAGGCTGGCCTTAAACTCACACAGATCCTCCTGCCTCAGCCTCCCAAGTGCTGGCATTACAAGTATGTGCCATCACACCGGGCTTGAGTTCCTTTAAATGCAGGGCCTAAAGTAAAGATATGGATGCAAAGTAATTTATTAAGGATATAAGTCAGGGAGCAGAAATAAAGGAGTAACAAGATAAACAAAGACAGAAATGATCACAATGAAGGCTATGACATGTAAGATCTCATTGTGGATATATTAAGCCTGAAATGTTATTTATTTAGCTGAGTGCTGTGGTGCACACCTGTAATCCCAGTTACTTGGAAGGCTTAGGCAGGAGGATCACAAGTTTGAGGCCAATCTGGGCAATTCAGTGAGACCTTGCCTCAAAATTTTAAAAGCTGGGGTTGTAACAGTGCTGGAGTACTTGCCTCTTGTCTGCAGGGCTCTGGATTTGCTCCTCAGTACTGTGAAACAGAAATTATTTATTTGAAAGAAGTTTTTTGCTATCCAGTGAAGAAGTTAAGCAGGCAGTTGGCCAAAGAGTAAAACTATTCACAAATAAAATGTAAGAGCTGACTGGGCTTTTCAGCAACAGGTCTGTCCCCTGGCATAATGTCTACACCTGCCCTGTCTTCCTTTCCCCTGGCAATTGATGTTAGTTAACAGGAGAGGGGTTATTCCGTCCGACTCCATTCAGAGTCCAGAAGATAAACAGCTGGGCTTTCCTATTGGTGGCATCTGCTTTCTAGATGCTGAAACTACCCCGGAGATCTCTAATTGCAGTAAAAAATGGTCCCAGATGCTGCTTTCCACAAGTGCCATGCACGTGTCCTCTCAGATGTGCTTTTAGTATATCGTTCCACAGAGAGGAAGCCATTACCACAGGCATTTATAGTTCATGAAGTGCTGTCACAGGAATCATGGACTCCGCAAGTGAAGCTGAAAGCCATATTAATAATGCATGTTAAATGCGACCGATAGGCACTGTCTTCAACTTAACATCGCCGAGCGTGTTAGAGCAAGGAGGCGAATATGCGGCAACACGGTCACATCCTCTTCTGCAGGGACAATGATAAGGAAGGGACTGGCAGTGAATGTTTACTTCTTGGTTTAAGTCAGTAGTTCTCCATCACTAATGAGCAAAAATACTGTATGAAGGTGATTCTAATTTACAAGGTCTCCCTCCCTTCTTTCCAACCTATATTCCTTAAGCTCCTGTCATGTATCAGATAATGCTTTAGGTCTTGAAACCTACATGTTAACAAGCCTTGTAAATGTAGTTGTCTAACATTTACTTTATCCCACTCATAGCAGCTGCTAGGTGCGTTCAGCTATCCACTCTTCTCTGCTCAGCTCTGTGCTACAGAAAAGGTTGGTCACAGGCCTAGGGGGCAGGTCCTGATTGTTCTAAGGCAGCCATGGTTTTCCCATTTACCTTCATAGGAACTGGTTTAGAGAAAGCCATATGATGTCATTCTGACCAGTGCAACTGAGATGTCTGCAGGTGGCTCCAGGGAAAGATTGTCTTGCTCCCAACGAAAGATACAGGGGGAAGATGGTCTTTTCTTCTTTAGACATAACTGCATGCAGATGTGAAGCCTAGTACTGGAGGCAGCTACCATGTCACAGGAATGGGAAAGCTGGCCCTGCAAATTAGATCTGGAGCCTTCGCAACTGGAAAAAAAAAAAAAAATTGCTAAGTGTAAGTGCTACAGTGAAGCATCCCAAGTGTGACCGTAGCAAGACAGGGGTGAACTTGGTCCTTGAATGTCATGGAATCACTGAACTATCCAACCCCAGAGCTGTCCTGTCCTTCAGCCTCAGAATAGTAAATTTCCTTGTTGTGTACACTGGATAAGCATGGGATACTTTTAAAGTTTCTTTTAAAACATTCTGAACGCCATTATGTGTATGCTTTTGATTCAGGATCTAAGCGCTCTGTAATTTGCCATTAAAGAATTATAACACAGTGTCTCAAGTGGTTTCCTTTGATGTTGAGATTTAGACAAGAGTTCAGTGGGAGGTGATTTACTGAGGTCATATCCTCAGGAGGATCCTGTAGAGGAGGGAAAGAAACAGGATGAAGGAAAAGGGAAGAGACGAGCAAGGATGTCATCTCAGGCAAAGTCTAGCCTTGCCTTGATCCACAGGAGGGAGGTTTTGGAGCATTGTCCAATATGATAACCACTAGCTACAAGCAGCCATTTAAAATTTAATTAATTGAAAGAAATTAAAATGTGAAATTCAGTTCTTTAGTTACATACCTAATGTTAGGTGGCCTCAGAAGTTCACAGGCAACATCATTAGCACAGCTACAAACTCATCCTCTTGGAAAGGGATGTGGGCAGAGTACCAGTAGTGACCCCACCCATAGTATCTAGGCAGGCCTGAGATAGAAGGCAGTGCTTCTGCTAGAGTTGTTAGGCAACACCCCTTCTTTGTGATCTGCACTGAGAATTCAGAATCCCTGGAGATTGCACCTAAGCAGTACCTTTAATTCCTGTCTCAAGGGTTCAGGTATGTACTGACTGTGTAAACAGACCTGATGAGCAGGTCACTCCAGAGATGTTCAGATTGCAGGAAGAACAGTGGAGGCTCAGACAGCAGACTCTAAAAGGGCCAGATCCAATGAATAAGTCCTTGAAAAAGATGTTAGAATGTTGGAGGGATGGTGACTCTGGACAGAACAAGAAGCTGCTTTTGGAACTTTCTCATCCAGCAGTTGGTCCCATAAGAAAGAAAATGAGGATATAAATTTTTAGTAAGTGCTCAACTACCTATAATAGATTTTCCTATATTTTATTTCTGTTCACTGTTTGGTTACTTCTTCATCTGACACCAATTTTGTAATCCCATCTTTTCTAAAAAGAATACATGATTTGGTCTGTCCTCTTGCATGGTTGATCAAAATTTGTTTTATTATTGTTATTACTATTATTATTGCTACTTTAGAAATATATTTTTTTTTGCTTTACAACTTTTTACTTCCCTCTTTTCCTCCTTGGTTCCTTGATAAGAGATTACTTCTTGTCTTGGGAAAGTCTTCAGATAACACAGCCATGTGATCTCAACCCCAGAACCTTCCAATAGCTGCTGCCAAGACAATTGGTCTAGCTCAACTCTGGCTCATGTGAGGTCCATACTGCTCTGCTCTCAAGTGGGGAGGAGTTATAGGTAGCTGAAGGATTACAGGATGAGTTGGCCATGGGCCTGAATTATAATCACCCAAGAGCAGGAAGCAAACAGGATTTTCATTCAGATTCTTCTCTGTGGATCAAGGATAGAATCCAGAGGCTGATACTGATGACATTCTCTTCATATCCTCTCGAACACCAGTCCAATTTCCATCTTCTGATGCTTACAGCTCTGCCTAGGGGTTGTTCCCTGGCCACTGAAGCCCACTGTGTTTACCTGTGTGGCAATCTTTTGGTGTCCAACACTTATTACCCCCTACTTTTCAACCATACAGTAATGGATGTCAGTATATGAAAACCAGAGCTCCTCATCCTTTGGGTGGGATACCTGAGCATGGGCCTATACTGGGTCCAGTTTCCCATCATAATTTATCTCCAGTTTTCCCAATGGCAATTGGCCTGGCAATTCCTGTATCTCCTTTTGGCTATCTTTCCAATGCTACATCACTTCCCTTCCTACTGGGCTTCTTTGCCTCCTAAATGATCTACTTGCCTTGGAGCTATTGTCTGAGCATCAATTCTGGGCATACCCAAGTAAGGCACAAGATAAAGTCATAGAGATGTGGACATAATGCTGGCAGCCTGCTGCTTAGCCTAAGCCTAGCACTTCCATTGAGGCTTAAAGAATGGGGAATGTGTCACATCTGCTGAATGACTAGTTTAATTCCAGAGTGAAAATTATTAGCAAGTATATGAACTATGAAACAAGACACACACTCCCATATTGTTCTTATCAGTTATACAGTTGATACTTTGCCTCCATCTGCCTAACTTCCATCTTTCCACCAATTCCATCTCAACTGATTCAACTTGAGAGTGGGAGGTATTTATGGAGTCTCCTGAAACTATAATAATCATGGCAGAAAGATAGAAATTTAATATGAGCAACATCTAAGGGATGGGCCAAAGGTTGTTCACTGGTCTCAGGGAAGAAACAAATCTGTAGTCCCTAAAGGTGGAATGAGGTACTAGGCAGTGTACCAGAATAAAAATTCAAGACTAGAGACAAGAAAGAAGCCAAAAAATTAGAATGCATACAGATGTTTAAGATGTGATCCTATTGAAATTAGAGCTCATTCGTCAGAACTGGGTCATTATCACCAGAATGGAGTAATGTTATCCATGCTGATACATAGTTATGAATCAAGAGCTAGTCAGTTGCTTTCTTTTTTAGGCTATCTCTGGGCCTGCAAGCAAGAGGCCAGGCTGCCGCTGAGGACATGGGAAACCTAGCTGCGGGCAGAATATCACAGAGACAGGCTGGTATTAATCAATTTTGTCAAGCCACAGAGTGAAATTCTACCCTTTAGATCCTCTTCTCAAATTTTACAGACATGAGCCTTGAAATCTTCCTACCTAGTTGTCTCTTTCACTGTCTCTGTCAAGATTCATGAATCGTGAGGCTCGTGAGTATGAGCTGATCTAAATAACTTCATATTTGTCCTGGTCCGGACAGGTTGCATTCCAGGTGTATACGTCAGGACTCTATCAGTTACAAGAAACAGAAACCGACTAAAACCAGCCTAGGTAGAGGGAGAATTTATCATTTCAGATAACCGGGAGTAGTCCTATACTAGTTCAGAGGGTAGGAGGAATAACTACAGCACACAGGGTCTCAGAGGCTGGAATCATAGACTCACTGTCAACAGGACTCTCTCCATCCTGTTCCCGACAGTTTACCTTGGTTTTTCTTCACATGTTCATTCCGTTACTGTTCACAAGCCTTTACAGTACCTTGAATCCCCCCAGCAGCTGAAGAGTCACATACTATTGGTGTAACAATGCCAGCAGAAAGAGACTTGTGTATCATTTTCCTGGGAGGACAAGGATTAGCACTGGCTGGGTATGACCAGATCATGCCCCAGCATATAATAGACTTATTAATGAACATTCCTGCATGAATTAGTAACCAGAATGGAGTAATGTTACCCAGGCTGATACATAGTTATGAAGCAAGAGCTAGCCAGTTGCTTTCTTTATTAGGCTGTAGTGACCCATATATCTAACAGTACTTGTTGTTAATGGATTTTAGTTCCTTTGCTTTGAGATACTGGCTCATACAGACTTTTTTTTATGGTACTGGGCATTGAACCCAGGGCCTTCACACTGAGCTACATTCCAAGCCCATGTTTATTTTTTATTTTGAGACAGCGTCTTCTTGCTCAGTCATTAATTTACCTAGTCCGTGCTTGAACCCATGATCCTCCCGCCTCAGCCTCTCAGAGTGCTAGGATTACAGGATTGTGCCACCACAAATAAGACTTATACACTTGTTTCTGAGAGATGTCTACTTTTAGTGTGTTGATAAAATAGTTTCGGAGCCCGCAAGAGAGATAGCTTTGGTAAATTCAGCAAGTGAATCAAATGCCGGCTAGGAGGTGTCCTGATTAGCTCTCTGCTCTACTTCCCCAGATAACCACGTGTTCTATGGTGTTGATGGAATCAGCCTTTCCCTACTTGAATCTCTACACTGAGAACTTACCTATGAAGTGTACATTTTTTTCAAATTTATCTTCACAGTGAAAGTATGGTGTAATTATGGTCAGATAAGATCTTACTGTCTCCATTTAATGACAGAAAGTTCAAGCATACACTGGGTAAGTCTTTGTTGTCCCAGGTGTATCTTCCAGAACACAAGCCCCTTAGGTGATCCATGAAAGGAGGTTGTGTGGTAATTATGATTGGGAAGCCCCTGATCAAGTCCCAATACATGTTAGCATATGAAAGCTTCTAAAAGAAACGGCAGGTAAGAAACATATGAACCAAAAGCTGTTTACTGTTCATCCAAAGGATTCTGTAAAGTTATTTGAGCCTAAATCTCTTACTTCTCCATATATCTTCTCTGTTCCTTGCTGCTTTCACAGAAGTCTCTCTCCACTCTAAGCCCGTCCTCCCTTCTATGCCTGCCACTCTATTCTCCATTCTCAGGAGTCTTCGCCCTACTTCTTCCCTTTCTAGATCAGCATCCTCTCCTTCCAGAATCTTTCCCATCAGCATCTACACAAACTCAAGAATCTTTCTAAACCTCACTTTCAACATGGTCCAGGGACCAGCACAGACAGCATCACTAAAGAACCATTTAAAAACACAGAATCTCAGGCCTCATCCTTGGCCTGCTAAATTATCTGTATTTCTACAGGATCTCCAGGAGACCTGTATACAAATTAAAATTTAAGAAGCCTTGCTCTAAACTATAGCCAGGTTTTTCTGATAAGAGTACAAATCAGGGGCTGGGGATTTAGCTCAGCGGCACAGCGCTTGCCTAGCAAGCACGCGGTCGTGAGTTTGATTCCCAGTACCGGGGTGTGTGTGTGTGTGTGTGTGTGTGTGTGTGTGTGTGTGTGGAGAGTACAAATCAGATCTTACCTAAGCTCTACTAAAACCACCCATTTTCCTAGATTCTTTCCTTTCTCCCATCTATGACTACTAACATTTCCAGAAATGAGCTGAAAGTCAATGCAGGGTAAAGTCATTCATCTCACCTTAGTGACAGTGTCTGACCCTTTGCTCTGTGAGCTTTTTGTCTTTTGTTTGTTTTTGCCCTGGGGATCAAATCCAGGGCCAGGCCCTCACACAAGCTAGGCAAACACACTACCTCTGAACTACACCCACTGCCGCTCCCCTGTGAATTTTGCACTACATGAGTTGTAGGTAGAGTACAGAGTCAGTTTGTGCAGGACTTTGATTCTTCTTTATTGCAGAAATGGTATTTCATAGTGTGCCAGTCATTTCTAGTTTGTTCTCAGTTCTACTCAGCATTCTTAACATTGCAAGGCACTGAATCCACAAGTGCGTTTTCAGGGCCCTTGCAACTTGGGGCTGCTGGTAGGAAGCACTGGTAGAAGGCTGAGGGTGGGAAAGGTAGTGTCTGCATCATAGTGGTCCCATCATTGTGGTTCCCATTATGTTCCTGGGTTTTGGTAGCACCTCCTCCTCCTCCTGGTCCAAAGGGGTGGTAGCAACTCCCTGTTCTTGCAAATCTCTAGGTTGCCTCATTATCCCATTTGGCTTTTGGGTTTTTCAACTCGTATGTAACAATTTCCCTAAACCTGGTTTGGATTAGGTTTTCCTAATAGTCCCTGAGTGACGTATGGAGGTATTAGAAAATGCGGGGTAGAAGGAAGAACGTTTGCAAAGTAGACGAGTTCTACTTTGAAGTCCAGATGCCCTAGAGAAAGTAATGGAGACCAGAGGACAATGGCA